TTTAGGTAGGAATTTAGAGCATCTTCATCTCTGAACTTTTGAGACGGTTTTTTAATTTGTCCCCTAAAAATAATCCTGCAATGTTCTTCAAGTGCAACAGATCAGCAATAAAGCTGTATGTAGCTGTAGCCTGTCTGGACACCAGAAGTTACCTAATCAGAGTTAAGAACCAAAACCACACAAAAATTAATGAGCTTACCTCATAATATTAGAGGCATCCTCAGCATCTGGGTCAGCGCAGTATTTATTGGCAAGGATTAGGCACGCATCTGCTGACTCTATCTGAGACACCAAAGAAAAAGCAAACATTAATAGCAACATCTCCTTCCAGCTCTTCTTTTATCATAAAGTATTAAGAGAATCCAACACTGCCTGTATGAGTGTGAATATCAGTTCTTAGGACTGTTAATCAAAAATGTTCACTGGCTATCATGAGTTAACATGAGTGATTATAACAGCTCTCTAATACACAAATAGCAATTTCTTGTAACTAGCTTATGATGTTCAGACCAGGTCAGTAGTTCAATTACTGACTCTTTCTTAGTATCAGCTGAGGCATGAAGGTGTTGCTGGACGTATCTCTTGTAAATTAGACCTCCAAAACGCACAGCAAGTTCCTGTTATATTAGTACAGTGGTCCCGCAAGTCTTCCAGCTTTGTTCAGGAATTTAAGTACCTTCCTACTAAAGACAGGAAGAGGCATCTGAACCGTTGATTTAGAACCTGAGCACCAGTTTTAGAAAGCAGAGGAACAGAACTGATCTATTCATAGGATCTCTAGGTTCACACAAACCTTAGCTCTATTTAACTCAAAGCAGATGACAAAAGTATTTCTCAGTGTATACAACCAAATACGAACACAAAGAAGGGTGGAACACAGAACACACAATTTTACGCTCATAATTAGAGCATTTTGTTGTGATGAACTGAAACAGTGTGTGTTGGGCTGCAAAAGGTTAAGCAATTTATGCAGCCAAAATGGACAAAAGACGTGATTAGTACTCCAGAAAGTTTTAACAAGGCACTAAAATATTCTTGGCTTAAGTAGCCAATTTACAGTTGACTAAAAAAACACCCCAACCCCCAAATCAAATGAAAACCACAAAAAAAAAAAAAAGGGTTAATGCTGTATCTGACAGCTTGCCATATTTATTTTTTTCACTTAAGCTTCATGCTTTGTTTTAAGAGTACAAAATAATTAACCATAGTGAGTTCCAGACAATAAAATCAGCTCATTTTAGCTACAAAAAATGTTAAACTGTGGTTTTGTGTTTTTTTGTTGGTTTTTTTTTTTTTTTTGGTTGGTTGTTTTTTTTTGTTTGGTTGGTTTTTTGGGTTTTTTTTTGTTTGTTTGTGTTTTTTTTTTTTTTTCCCCAGGATTACAGACAACAGAAAAAAAGGTTTGACAGGTGAAAAATTACTTTATAACCTTTCTGATGAAGGTAAGACTAGCATTTTAAGCAATCACTCTAAGACAATGTTCTATTGTATCAAACACTAATGTAAAATACACTCCTGAACTAAATCCCAATGAAAAATTCATTAAAAGTTCAACAGAATGGCAGACAACATATCTTAATTCACAGTGTTACTGTAGATTTGAAAATTTAAGGATAAGGAAAACAAGGTTTATAAGGATAAATATTATACTCTATTAAGCAAGCTAAGAGATGGAAAAACTATCTTTTTACGTTATGTGAAAGAGAGATTTTCTCTTTCTTTTTTCAAAGTAATGCAAGGAGTACTTCATAAAAGCCAATTAGCAGAAGAACAGAACAACAGTTTTTACCTTCACTCTTGCCAGGTCATGGGGATTAAGGACTGAACCCTGATAAAATTCCACCTGAGTGAAGTGTCGTTTAAAAAGAGCTTCCAGCTCAAGGTTAGGGGAGATACTGCAAACGCAAAAGCAAATGAGAAGTCAGTTTCCATAACTGCCCCACTTCCTTCTTTCATCAATCAATCAATCCATATATTTATTCTGGATATTCAGGCTTCTGCAGATGCTTTAACCCGTGGTGTGGAAACACTGTGCAGTACTTAAAGACTATACTGCTTTCAATTCCTTATTTCTGTCTACAGTGCATTTGAAAATATCCCCACACAGCATTCTCTACAGAAATTGTCTAGTAAGACAATCATCCTTTGCATGTCCCCACCACTCTCAAAACACCCAATTGCATCAAATAAGAGAGCTCAATGCAAAATCAGCAAAAGGAGAGAAAAGGAAACCTACAGGGACCCTGGGGCCTATATGAGCTACAATTAAAACAAGCATAATTATGCTGTGACTTTCTGTCTCATTTCATTTTGACATAAACAAACAAAAAAAATGTAATGGATAACAATCTATTATACAATGTGGTACCAATCTTGCAAATACCATTTCTGATGCCACTCATTAAAATAGAAGGGATTTAATAACTATGTAGTAAGTGCATGAGAACTTTGTCATGGCAGATGCTACATTTCATAAGAAAACAAGAGATACATGCAAATATTTATCTGTGAAGGTACAGAAGAAAGCAGGCACAAACAAGTAATCAGGTGCTGAACTCCATTTCTGTGTATACGCAATTTCCTGATTCCTATCACCACACTTTTACACTGTGGAAATCTGATAGATCTGCTAACAGTCAATCTCTGGTTCGGTTTCTCTAGTTTAGTTTTAAAGGACTAGATTAAAAAAAAAAAAATATGCAAGTGCACAATCCTTAGTTTTCCAGTTTTCTGTGTTGAATCATCACACGTGATTCTTTAACTTTTTAATAATTTTCTTTGACAAGAAGTATAGAACTTGCTGCCAAATGTGTGTAGGTATGTATTTACAGGCAAAAGAGTGGTACTAATTATCACTGTGCAAGAATTTCTTTTCTATATTCACTATATCTGTAATATATCTCACTTACATGAGAACTAAATCTGCACCTACATTTTTCTTATCAATATTTTGCAATATGAAATAAACATTTTCTCCTAGTGAAATCAAAGGTGAAAATGTATTCACAAGACATACAGTATTTTTCACTGACGTTGCTGATTTTAACATTTTTTGTAGTTTTGCTAGAAAAATGTGCTACCAAAGAAAATTGCCACAACTATTTACTAGTATTTCAATATTGCCCCTTCAACCATGTGTTTAGCTATCCACCTCACAACTGACAAAACTGAGTCTGAAGCCTGTCTTCAAAATACCTATACTTACAATGAGGTCTAAAAAATTGCAGAAAACAACTCTTTTTTTCAAAATATAGTTAATAAAAAAATTGTAAATATTAATTTTATGGTAATTTGGCACTTGAAAGATCATAAGTTTTAGAAACAGATGATAAGACTAATATTGAAAGATTACTCACTTATGTAGAAAGACGATTTCTACGTTGACATCATCCCTATCCTTGTGCAGGAAGTCCTTCAGGAAGTTGGACACACTTTCAAGTGTTATGTGACCACAGACAACTATGTGCCTGTTACAGAAAAAGCAGAGTTAATCTTGCAAAAAAAGATAAAGCAAGCTGAGAAGGAAATGATAATTTATTGGCTGAAAAAGAGTATTAGTCTCTTCTTGATGATTCTCTAAGTCCTATTCCATGAAGTCAAAGAAGGAAAACATCAGTTTCAAAATGAGCTTTGCAATGAGAAATACATATACACTCTCACCTGTAAAGACCATTTGGCAAAAAAACATTTGGCCAAGCCATATTATACACATTTAACAATAAGTGGCATAATTTATATATATGTTTATACACCATATTAAACAGCTCCTTTCAAAGTCATATTTCTTTATTTTACACATCTTTCTCCACATCTTTCCCCCCTTCTGAGCTTTACTGTTTACATTTTTGGTTTATGACATAATGAGACAGCAAATCTCCCTAAAATTATATATTTTTCCATGGTTGAAAGCAGGCACTTATGCCTGAAAGTGCAAAGCTCAAAAACTATAGGGCATAAACAGTAAAAAAAACACTCCTACAAGGAGAGTACCTTACAATAAGAAATCATTAGTTATTGCACCATTCCAACAGATTAGTTAGAAAATCAAATTTGCACAGATTGTGATTTCACAAAGGTTCCTACTGCTCTGTGTTTTCATTACTACATGTATCTGACCATGTAAGATGGAAGCCAAATATATATGTACATCAACATTCTTGAATGCTACATCTTAAATTCTGAGAGGCTGAAGAAAAGGCCTAGGAAACTGCACTCTTCCTGACTTAAGAAATCTTTGCTCCTTTATTATTGGAAAGCAATGTCCAAAAATTCATTATTAGAATATCCTACATTGTTTCACAACTTCCTTCATGGAATAAACTCTGCCCCAGATTCCATTACCATCATGGGTTTAAGAGACATGGTGATTTTCATATGCCTATTGGTAACACTTCAAACAGCCACATTAATCTCAGAAGCCAGGGACAAGGTGGTATAGATACAATTTCCAAACTATAGAAGGTCAGCTTTTCTTTTGTAGTCATATAGTCTATGCACAATGCTACAAAAAGTCAATTTCACAAACTTATTTGGCACTTGAACTGCCAAATGCAAAGCAAAGTGATTCCGAGGGTTAGAAGTACACCATTCCATCCTCACCGACTTCATAATCATTCTGTGGAAAACACAGTATGGAAAACAAATAATAGGTAGCAGCAATGATTACTTATGTAATGGGCTATAACAGGAGTCTGTTCTTGTTTCATAATTGATGCTTGATGAAATGTGTCTGAAAAGTGCATACAACTCACGGAACAAGGGATAATTATGCAGAACAAAGAACAAATCAGTAATACATATCACACATTGAATAATGTCACCATCTTGTACTGTTATTTTTGCAGGGTTTTTTTTCACATGGTGACTGGAAAAAATAGAATAAACTATTGTATCAGTCCAGCACACCTGATATGATTCTATTATTAACAATTTCATAAACAATGTAGCACAGAGCTTTAAAGCTTTATTTTGAAATATGATAAACTCAAACACTCTTGCAGGAGTTTTTAGTGACATCACCAGGATTCAGGTGTAATTATAGCAATAGCGGCAGACAAAAACGTCAATGGTTTCATTCTTTTTAACAGGCAGGGAATATATATTTGTATGAGATGTTGATCACGCTGTGTTTTATTAAACACAGGACTCAATGCTAAGGGCTTTTATTGTAAAACTAGCTATCCAGCGTGTCTGCTTTGGCTTCAGTGAGATATTGTTCAATTTTAATCTGTTTTTGGTGCAGTGAGTCTACATAGCACTAAGTTCTTGGACTGTAAACACTGAGAACCACAAAAATCCCCAAGTTAAAGCTTTCCTGTTTTATGAGGTGGTAAGCACCATGTCAGAAACCAAGAAAAAAATATATCAGCTCATCCTTTTTTTGTTGCAGGGAGTCCTTAAGAGGTTACCTCTGGATCTTTGCAGCTTAGCAGAGTTTGCAGCAGCCTTTGTATTGGATAAACTATGTCTGTATTACCTACTTCAGAAGCACTCTTCCTCAGTTTCCCTAACGGTCAACTGCCTGAGATGCCAGCACTGTGTGTGCACATGTTATTGCACTCACAGTTACATCAGGTTAACAATCTTCAACACAGAAGCGTAAAATACAGTTTCAAGCACAAAGATACACTCCCCACTGAATGGATGAATCTTTATCCAAAACATCAATGTAAACAGAAAATTCAAGAAAGTTCAGATTCTAAAGAGAATCTAAAGAGATGTCAAAAACCTTTCTAGTTCACTAGATCTAAATTCTGAACAGACTGAGTTTCATTAACTACATTACACTAACATATTAGGAAGAGTTGTACTCAGCAGTTTTCCTAAGCATAAACCCATCTAGCATCAAAAAAAGCAAAAGCACAAGAAAATTACAAATAACAGCTAAAAATACTCATTTGTATTCCTTATATGTTCTGTACACATTTTCTAAGATAACAAATTTTAAACTATAGATATTATTTTCTTCAAATGTGTCCATCTATTACTGATTAAGAAATTGGATTTTCCTTTTGGTGCATTATTTTTAATAATAGAAATAATTTCTTCTTATAGGCAAATGTTTTGTATAGATCCTGTTCTATTAGCTTTAGCAGGGTCTCTTCCCAAGGGCTCTTGCAGGGCACTACATTCCTGTGCAGAAAATTTACTTCCTACCTGGGAGATTTCACTTCATACGGGTTCTTTTTGGTTACTAATTTGCATCACATTTTAAAAATCTTGGTAAACTGAAGAGAAAAACTAGAAGTCAGATAAAGTGTGCAATCCAGATTACTCTATTGCAAAGGAATTTTTCACAGGGTCATAAGATTACAAGATAAATCTGGGTGGAATATGTCTCCACAGGTTATCTATGCCAAAAATTTCCTCAAAAAAAGTAGATGCATTTGGCACAATAATTCAATCCTGTTATGATTCCCATTCAGTGGGGTTTCATAGTAATCTGCTCCAGTGAAAATAAATCAATCGGCTGTTAAATATTCTTGCTTTTGAGCATCAGGACTGATTCATTTAGAAGTGTCAGAAGGCATCTGCACCATGCTTTCATTTTAGCACTCTGATTTGGAGTTGGACATGATCTATTCTTTTCTTCTTTGATGTTCTTACACAGTGCAAGACAGTGTCCTGATCTGTGACTACAACAAAAAGTCCTGGGTTTCAAACAATATTTTCTGATGAGATACTGGAATTAATTTTTAGTTGAAAAATCCCACAAAAAAAAAAAAAATCTCCTTTTAACATAAATTATATTTTTGCTTAGAAGCAGAAGAAATTGAAAACCAATTTCTTACTTGTCCAGACAGAGTTATTAGGTACATTAAGAAAACATTGAGAGTTTATATTGTTCCAGTCTGTCCTGTGCATGATTTGAAGACTTATAACTTCCTCTGTTTGTTCCAATAAATATTCCTTTCCTATTTTTTTTTCCATGCACAAAGAGTTTAAGTCAAGCAAACATACTGGATATCTTTTGCTTTGAGCTGGAGCTGTTTGGTAGGAAAATATTGTATTAATAATTTTGGGCCAACAGAAATGTCTAAACTCTGCGTTAAGTTTCTGTTTATGAAAAATCACAGAATGTTAGGGGTTGGAAGGGACCTCTAAGATCATCTAGTCCAGCCCTCCTGCCAGAGCAGGATCATCTACAATAGATTGCACAGGAAGATGTCCAGGCAGGTTTTGAACGTCTCCAAAGAAGGAGACTCCTCAACCCCCCCTGAGCAGCCTGTTCCAGTGCTCTGTCACCCTCACTTTGAAAAAGTTTCTTCTAATATTTTTATGGAACCTCCTATGTTCTAACTTGTACCCCATCGACTCTTGTCCTGTTATTGGACGTCACTAAAAAGAGCCTGGCTCCATCCTCCTGACACTCCCCCTTGACATATTTATAGACATTTATGAGGTTACTCCTCAGCCTCCTCTTCTCCAAGCTAGAGAGAGCCAGCTCCTTCAGCCTTTCTTCATAAGGGAGATGTTCCACTCCCTTAACCATCTTGGTGGCTCTGTGCTGGATTCTCTCAAGCAGTTCCCTGTCTCTCTTGAGCTGAGGGGCCCAGAACTGGACACAGTATTCCAGATGTGGCCTCACCAGGGCAGAGTAGATAGGCAGGAGGACCTCTCTTACCTACTTGTTACTCCACTTATAATACACCCCAGGAGGCCATTGGCCTTCTTGGCCACGAGGGCACACCGCTGGCTCATGGTCATCCTGCTGTCCACTAGAACCCCAAGGTCCCTTTCTCTTACACTGCTCTCCAGCAGGGCAGTCCCCAACCTGTACTGGTACATAGGGTTATTCTTTCCCAAGTGCAAAACTCTACAGTTGCCCTTGTTGAACTTCATAAGATTTCTCCCTGCCCAGCTCTCCAGCCTGTCCAGGTCTCTCTGGATGGCAGCACAGCCTTCTGGTGTGTCAGCCACTCTCCCAGTTTCGTGTCATCAGCGAACTTGCTGACGGCACTTTGTAATCCCTCATCCAGGTCACCGATGAATATATTGAAAAGCACCGGCCCCAGCACTCACTCAAAAGTAATAAACTTTCAGTTAAATTATTATGATTTCTGTTTGGTTTTGTTGTTTTGGTTTTTTTTTTGTTTCATTCTCTAAAAAAAAAAAATAATTTAGAAATTAACTTATAATATTGAAAACAATGATTCAGGAATTCAGACATTTTTAGTGTAGTATTCAGTAGGACTAAGATTCCTGTTAGCTGCCATTGGCATTACATATCAGAGGTAAAACTGGTTTAATATCCAATGGGAATTCATATTACATGATTGTGATGTTGCAAAAATAATCTTTCATAGTGAATCAAAAGCTTATCAGGAGGCATATTCTAGCAACCAATAAAGCCAGACTAATCCATTCTCTCCCATGTGTATTCATCATTCTCAAAATTAATTACAGTGAACAAATATGAAAAATTAGTACAGATCTACACAATTGATTTAAACTGTGATTCTACACA